TCAATTCTGTTCCATTGATCTGTGTGTCTGTTTTTGTACCAGTACCATGCTGTTTTGATTACTATTGCTTTGTAGTATGTTTTGAAGTCAGGAATTGTGTTGCCTCCTGCTTTGTTCTTTTTTCTTAGGATTGCTTTAGCTATTCGGGGGCTTTTGTTGCCACATATGAATTTTAGTATTCTTTTTTCTATTTCCGTGAAGAATGTCCTTGGGATTCTGACTGGGATTGCATTGACTCTGTAGATTGCTTTAGGTAATATAGACATTTTAACTATGTTTATTCTTCCAATACATGTGCATGGGATGTCTTTCTGTTTCTTTATGTCATCATCGATTTCTTTCAATAATGTCTTGTAGTTTTCATTGTATAGGTCTTTCACCTCCTTGGTAAGATTTTTCCTAGATATTTTATTCTTTTGATGCAATTGTAAATGGTATTATCTTTTTGAGCTCTCTTTCTGTTACTTCGTTATTAGCATACAGAAATGCAACTGATTTTTGTAGATTGATTTTGTACCCTGCGAATTTGCTATAGTTTTTGATTATTTCTAATAGTTTTCCAACGGATTCTTTAGAGTTTTCTATATATAAAATCATGTCATCTGCAAATAGTGAGAGTTTCACTTCTTCGTTACCTATTTGGATTCCTTTTATTCCTTTTTCTTGCCTAATTGCTCTGGCCAAAACCTCCAGTACTATGTTGAATAGGAGTGGTGAGAGTGGGCAGCCCTGCCTCGTTCCTGTTCTCAGAGGAATGGCTTTCAGTCAGACAGACATTTTGAGGAACGGAGAAAAGTTCAGTACGCCCTGAACTTTAAACCATGAAAGGGGAGAACTTAAAAATGAGACTGGGAAAAAATCAAGGTGAGGACATAAATGATTATATAGGTTATATCATGCACTTTATAGTTTATCCTAAGGGCAATTAAAATACAATGTGGGATTTTAAGCATTTGCTGACATGATCACATCTGCATTTTTGAAAAATCAGTTTGGCCAAAGTATGGAGACTCAATTTCAGGGGAATGACTAGAATCAGAGAGACCAGTTAGGAGATGATGGTAGCCTGGGTGAGGTGATGCTAGTGTAGATGGGGAGAAGAGGGATGATTAGAAAGATATTTAGGAGATAAAAGTATTTAAGTCCAGGTGATTGATAGGCTGCATTGGGAGAAAAAGAGGCAAGACTCAAGGATGATTAACACACATCTGGATGGGCAACTGGATGGCTACTGGTGTCATTCACTGAGACAGAACACAGAAAAGAAACAAAACAAAATTGAAGTGGAAAAAGATGAAGTCAGTTTTGGACATGCTGATATTGAGGTAAGTACCTATGGGCTACGTATGTGTGTGTGTGTGTGCATATGCACATGCCTGTGTATATTTGCGTGTGTGTACATATATAACAGAAGCACAGGATATAAATCTGGGCTGCAGATATGGACTTTGGGATTCATTAGCATGTACATGGTGATTGAAACCATGAGAGCTCTAAGATAACCAAGCTAAAGTGTATCAAGTAAGGATAGAAGAGGCTTAGCACAGAACTCTGAGAAACACCTTCATGAGAAGAGAGAGGAAAAGAAGTATCTTTTAAAAGACAAGGAAGGCCCAGAGTGCAGAATCATGAAACCAAAAGCAAAAACCATTTCAAGGAGATGATGAAGATCAACAGTAGCAAATGCTTCAGAAAATTCAAGAAAAATAAGTATTAAAATGATCCAGGGGATTCAAGAAGATGATCATTGTGGAGGATTCTGATAGATGTCTGCCAAAATCTGTTCCCTTTCTTTACATAATAGAACTGTACCCAGGCACACAGCTACTCAGATAGATTGCCTGTCCCAGCCTCCCCTGTAGTGAAGTGTGGCCAAGTGAATTAAGTTCTCACAGATTGTGCATAGAACTTTTGTTTGCCTCTCCTGGGTCTGGAATGGAAGACATCTGGATGTGTCCCCTCCCTCCCAGCCAGCTAGAACCCAGTTGTGGCAGTGACCCAGCTACAGTCATGCAGATTATGACATTGCAATAGGGGATGTAGGAGCAATTACCTGGGACAAAATTTGGTTCCAAAAGGACTGAAAGGAGCAAAGCTGCCCTATCTACCCACCATTTACATCGGAACTGTCACAAGAAAGAGATACAGACTTTTAGAAGCCGGTGTGTAGTTGCACTGCTTTGTTTCTGCAGTTTAACCTTACCAAACTTACACAGAAATTTATAATCACCTCTACAATGGCAGTTTCAGTAGAGTGGTTATGATGAAAATTAGATTGCACTCGGCTCAAAAGTGAGAAGGATAAGGAAGTAAAAATGACAATCTTTTCCAGAAAGTTGGCTGTAAAAGAAAGAAATAGATCAGTATCTGGAGGAAAATTTAGACTCAAGAGGGTTTTTTTTAAAGCCTAGAGAAACTTGAACTTATTTAAAATGCTTATTTGTAGTATTCAGAAGAGAGAGAGAGAGAAAATTCAGATACCCGAGAGAAGACATAATCAATGTGAAGCCCCTAGAACGTGGTTAAAGATAGGATCCAGAAAATATATACAGGGATTGGACTTAGGTGGAAGGGACCTCAGTAGAGGAAACTGTAAGTACAGATGCTACCAAGGGTGCAGGTTTGGGGACAGGAATTTGAGAGAATTCCCACTGATGGATTCTATTTTCTCTGTAAGGTATTAGGCAAATTCATCTACTGAAAAGGGGTATGTAATAGTAGGGTGAGAAGTTTAAAGTAAGATAAATACATTTGAAGTAGTTTTTATGGAGAATAGAAGAGAAAGCTGATTAGAAAAATATAGAAGGATTTCTTGATCTTGAAAGCCCAATTAAGTTTGAATGTGATAAACTTAATGGCAATAGGATTGATAATTGTCTAAGTTTTGTCTTACAGGGTGCAGCGTCCCAGGCATAAGAGAAGAGGAAGGGGACAATTATATTCATCTCATGTGGAGTTTTATCAGGTGGTTTTAGTGAAGGAAAATTGAAGAAGAGGATTGAGAATATGGGCATGAGAGTTATTGGGAGTGGCCGCTAACTTTCTGCCTGAGCTGTTTGAACTGCTCTTCCCCCTTGCCCACTAGAGATGAGAGAAGGCCTAGATCACTTGGGACCGCAGGCTGCTAGAACCACTCCCACCTTCATTTTTAACAAGGTTGTTGAGAAATCACTTAGATACCATAGAGTTTGCCCATTTAAAGTGTACAGTTCAATGGTTTCTAGTGTATTTACAGAGTTGTGCAATTATCACCATGGTCTAATTTTAGAACACTTTCTTCATGCCAAAAAGAAACCTTGTGGGGCCGGCCCTGTGGCTTAGCGGTTAAGTGCTCTCGCTCCGATACTGGCGGCCGGGGTTCGGATCCCGGGCGCGCACCGACGCGCTGCTTCTCCGGCCATGCTGAGGCCGCGTCCCGCATACAGCAACTAGAAGGATGTGCAGCTATGACACACAACTATCTACTGGGGCTTTGGGGAGAAAAAGGGGGGAAAAAAAGGAGGAGGATTGGCAATAGGTGTTAGCTCAGGGCTGGTCTTCCTCAGCAAAAAGAGAAGGATTGGTATGGATGTTAGCTCAGGGCTGATCTTCCTGATCTCACACACACACACACACACACACACACACACACACAAAAAGAAACCTTGTACCCATTAGCAGTCACTCTCCATCCCCTACCCTCCCTCCAGCCCGAGGCAACCACTAATCTGCTTTCTGTGTCTATAAATTTGCCTATTCTGAACATTTCATATAAACGAGACCATACAATATGTCATATTTTGTGACTAGCTTCTTTCACTTAGCACAGTGTTTTTTAAGGTTCATCCATGTTGCAGCATGTGCCAGTACTTCATTCTACCTTATTGCTGAATAACAACAATTCCGTTGTATGGAGATATCACGTTTTGTTTATCCATTCATCAGTTGGTGGATACTTGGGTTGTTTCCACTTTGGGTTATTATGAATAACGCTAGCATGAACATCCACGTATAAGTTTTTTTGTGTGTGAACATATGCTTTTATTTCTTTTGTATAGATACATAGGAGTTGAATGTCTGGGTCATAAGGTAACTATATGTTTAACATTTTGAGGAACTGCCAAACTGTTTTCAAAAGTGGCTGTGCCATTTTACATTCCTTCCAGCAATGCATGAGGGTTCCAATTTCTTCACATCCTTGCCAACACTTGTCATTGTCTGTCTTTTTTATTGTAGCCATTCTAGTGTGTATGAAGTGGCCATTTTTATTTTTCACCTTAAGTAGTCTGTGTATCTGGTCTGGCATGCTAAGAAGCTATAATGCTTTATATCTCTTTAAGCTAGTGGTCCTCTACCTTTTCCCCACTACGTGCAGTAAAGACAGGAAGTAATCTTAATACTTAACTTCAATTTGTTAATATCTTATGAATTTTAGTTCTCCATGTAAAAAAGCTTTCATTTAGGGAGGAAAGACTTGCTTGCTCCTAGTTCCACTTCTGATAATAGAAAATTAGAATTTTCTATTATCAGAGAGACTTCTGTTCCCTCCATTTTTCTTGAATTCAAAGAATAATTAATCAGTCCACACAGTTCAAAAGAACTGGTAGTGAAATCTTAGTTTTCAAGAAGTGTGAATATTAGATTATTTTGAATATGCTACAGCCAGAGATTTTACTTTCTGGCATTATTAACTGACTAATACCCAGCCCCTCTACAATGTTAAGATAGAGTTTTAAGAATATCTTCAAGAGGCAGTTTCTGGCATTGACTCTAGTCTGGGCACTAGAAGCAATAGAAGCAATCACTTTACGCACCCTCACACATCTCCTCTTTCCCATTTCTGCTCTCTCTCTCACACACACTTCTCTTCCCTCTATACCCTTACTCATTTTGTTAATCTATGCTTTCCTTCCACAATATACAGACTTTAGACTTTTTGATGAAATTTATTGGAAAACTCCTCCGCCAATGGCGAAGGCTTTTTCTTCTGTAATGCAGTCAGATCACTAAAGGTGGGAGTGGTTGGCATGCTTGTGCAGCATGAGACAAAACTTCCTTTTACAATGGTTTGAAATTTTTAAAAAATTAGAACCTTACAGGACAATCTTTTGATACTTCTCAATGCTCTACATATATCTACGAGAAAAGTAGTTTTCCAACCTTGGATTGCTACCCATTAGTAGGTCATGAAATCAATTTAGTGGATCATGACCACATTTTAAAAATTAAATAGAATGGAATAACATAGGCAATTTTAGATTGCATCCCCCCAAAAGCTAAGCATTGTTCACAAAACATTTCTTTCTATTATGTTTGTATGTTACATAACATGATAGACAACATAATTTTTCTGTGAATTTTTTAAAAGTTTGAAAATTAGTGCCCAGTGTATATATATTAAATTCTAGGAGAACACAGGAGGCAAAAAATTATACACATTAGCACACAAGTCCACTTATGTTATACAAATCATTATTCAGGTGCCTGCATTCAACTGCATTGCATTACAGCTTTATAACATTAATGAGACATCTGGAATCATAATTTCATATTCCAAGAATCTGTGGGTGGCCACAATATTAATGTGCCTTCACAATCACTCTCCAGGATGAATAAGGAAGAATGCTAAGAAAATTGCCTTCTGGTCCTTTCTAACAAAGTGATTACACTTATGGTTGTATCATAGGACGTGATTTTTCAGGTGTATTTTCTACAGTAATAAATATTTTTAAATGTTAACTAAAAAATTCAGTGAATTTAAAGAAAGAAAAATGACATTTCTGAATAGCAATCATTATTAAACCACAAGAAAAAATGCAGAAAAGAATCAAATGACGAAATACTTGAACACTTGAAATACTTTGAAAGTGGTCTGCTTTATTTTACCATAAGCATAACTGTGGGAGAAAGTTCGATTGGAGAGAAGGCCGTGGAAAAAAGTGATTTGGTGGTGTTATTTAAAGAGGCAAATTCATTACAAATTAAGACCTCTTGGGTTAGAGGATAAATTACCATCTTATTACAACTACAAATACAGATAAACATTCACTTAAAAGTAAAGGTGGGTAGAACATGCTAAAATACAAAAGTAACGTCAGTACGATTTAAAATACACATAATTTGGGGAAAATAACTTCGAAAATAAGCAGCACAAAACAAAATACATATGGAATATAAAAATTAATTGTGATCACTGAATATTGAACCCAAAGCTATTGTGGAAGGTGGGATTTTCCTCTATTTCTTTCCCAGGGCAGTGGGGTGCGAGGTTGGGGATAAGGGGCTTCAAAAATTTGAACTCATTTGTCCCAGTACCTCCGGTGAGACACACCTCATACTGGTGGCTCTGGGACAGGGTCCCAGTTCCGCCGACGTCCACCAGGTGGCCCGGAAAGTGGCCCTCAGGCACCGAGCAGCGACCCAGCGAGGCGGCCCTGCTCCTCCCGCACAGCCGCACCGCGATGAACGCGAGCACCGAGAAGAGGAAGAGCGACGACACCGCGGCCAGGGCGATGACCAAGTAGACGGTGAGCGGGTCGGCCTGCGCCTGCTCGGCCGCCGCCTCCGGCAGCGGCAGGTAGGGCTGCGAGAAGCCGTCCACCAGCAGCACGTGCAGCGTGACGCTGGCCGAGCGCGGCGGCTCGCCGTTGTCCTTGACCAGCACCAGCAGCCTGTGCTTGGGCGCGTCGCGCTCGCTCGGCGGCCTGGCCGTGCGCACCTCGCCGTTGTGCGCCCACACGCCGAACAGCCCGGGCTCCGTGGCCTTGAGCAGCTGGTACGACAGCCAGGCGTTCTGGCCCGAGTCGCCGTCCACCGCCACCACCTTGCTCACCAGGTAGCCCGCCTCGGCCGCCCTGGGCACCAGCTCGGTGCAGGGCGCCGAGCCGTTCTGCAGCGGGTAGAGCACGAAGGGCGAGTTGTCGTTGTCGTCCAGCACCAGCACGCGCACCAGCGCCTGGCTGCTCAGCGCCGGCGAGCCTCGGTCTGTGGCGCCCACGCCGAACTCGAAGGCCTGCAGGGCTTCGTAGTCCAGGGACCGCAGGGCGAACAGGTGCCCGTTGTCCGCGTTGATGGACACGAGGGAGGCGAGGGGCAGGTGCGGGTCGTGGGGCGGCAGCAGCGAGTAGGTGACCTGGGCGTTGGCGCCTGCGTCTGCGTCTGTGGCGCTGACGCTGCCGATGTGCAGGGCGGGGCTGTTGTTCTCGCGGACCCGCAGGGTGTAGGAGGTTTGGGTGAAGGCGGGGGCGTTGTCATTGACGTCGGAGACCAGCAGGGTTATGTTGTGCTGGGTTTTCAGCCTGGGGGATCCCATGTCGGTGACGGTGATGGTAATGTTGTACTGGGCTCTGCTTTCTCTGTCTAGTGGGCTCTCCGTTTCCAATGTGTAGTAATTCTCAACTGAAGATTTTAGCGTGAATGGGAGATCTTCTGGGATAGAACAAATCATCATCCCGTTGTCCCCAGAGTCTTTGTCTCGGATACTAAAAACCATAACCACAGTCTCAGGCAAATTTTCTGGGATTGGACTGGTAATTGACGACACAGTGACTTCAGGAGCATTGTCATTCACATCCATCACCTCAATTCTGACTGTTGCTTTTCCAAAAAGGCCTCCACCATCTGTGGCTTGAATGATTACTGAGTATGATTCAATTGTTTCAAAATCCAAGGATGCCGTTAAACTCACTTCTCCAGACTTTTGATTAATTTCAAATGTCTTGCGAATCTCTTCTGAGGCATGGGAAAAAGTATATGATATTTCCCCATTTTTTCCCGAGTCTAAATCCCAAGCTGAGACGGTGACAACCAGTGAGCCTAGCACGCTATTTTCTGGAATCCTCACCTCATAAAATGGCTGCTCAAACTCAGGGGAGTTGTCATTAGTGTCCCCGACCACCACACGAACAGAGGCAGTCCCGGACCTGGGCGGGGACCCGCCATCCAGAGCAGTGAGGATGAAACTGAGCTCGGACTGCTCTTCATAATCCAGTGCCTTGTCCAGAACTAACTCTGGGTATTTCCTATTGTCTGGATTGACTCTCATTTTGACGTGGAAATGAGAGTTGGGGCTTATTGTGTAGTTTTTTATACTGTTCATTCCTACATCTAAATCCTTCGCACTTTCTAGTAAGAACACGGCACCGACAGGACTATTCTCTGGGATTTCTAGGAGCATTTCTTTTTCTAAGAAGACGGGCGAGTGGTCATTTATATCCCTCACCTGGAGCTCAATCCGTAAAAACTGCAAGGGGTTTTTCATTAATACCTGGAAATGCAGCACACAGGGCTCGGTGGAGCCACAGAGCTCCTCCCGGTCTAGCGCTTCGCTTAAGAGCAAATTCCCCGTGTTTACGTCCAGCTGCAAACGCTGTTTGTTATCATTAGAGACCACCCGAGCCCCCCTGGAGAAGAGCTCACCCATTTGCAGTCCCAGCTCTTTTGCCAAATTGCCTACAAAGCTCCCGCTCTGCATCTCCTCTGCCACCGAAAAGCGCCCAGACTCGGAGCCGGCCTGAGACATTCCCAGCAAAACAAAGAGAAGCAGGACTTGCCTTATCCGCAGAGTGCTTGCCCCTCCGTGCTCCATAGCTCCTTTCCCAAAAGCTTCCTGCAGGATCGCTTCAGCTCCACTTTGCAGTTCTGGGAAACGTGCCTGTTATGTCCACCAAATCTTCAGAGACCTAAGGATTTTAACCCCGTTGAATAGCTTCTAGTTCGCCCCTTGAAGCCTTGTTCTTTCTGTCTCCCCAAATCCCTGTGTGCACTGGGTAAGAGAGTCCGGAACATCATCCAGCATAGGTGTTTTTTTTTTTTTTCCCCTCGGCGATATTATCCTGCAGCGCCACCATGCGTCTCCACAATTTTCAGGGTTTGGTGAAAGCTACCTCAATTCCATTCACATAAATGTCCTTCAGAAACAAATATTTATTCATTGTGCTTAAGTGATTACAAATATATTCTATCTTCCATAAGAATTGTTTTTATACTCTTTATAGTTTCTGATGCTGTTAGTATTTGTTTTAAAGCATTTAAGTATCCCTCCCCACTCGCTGCACAACCGAAGTGCTCAGCTGTAGTGAGTACAGAAATACAAGAAGTGATTCCTGGCACCCAGGAGCCTGTACTCTTTCTGAGAAGATTGAAAACCTGAAATAAGGAGAGTATAAATGACTGTTAAACTGAGCAAAATCCCATCACTACTTGGCCTTCTTTAGGTGGCAAAGGAAAGGGAAGGTGTACCTGAGTCATTTCAGTCTTCTCAGAGGATATGAAACTGCATTAGCCATGAGATAGAACATATATAGATAGTTGTTATAGCACAAAAAGGCATTTCTGTAGATTTCCTTGATAACAATGAACTGCAAACTGGGAGAAAAATGAAGATGCGGAGGTGGAATACATTATGTAAATCCAAAATTTAGTTCCAGTTTCTCATAATTTCCCCCCCAAAATTTAATAAATGCACAAACACAAACATGTTAGCTTCATTTAAAGCAGGCTTACTCCTAAAGCTGGCTTCCCTCAGGCTCCCAAGATTTATTTCAGCTACAGCTATGGTCATCTGCTTTCTCTTTCAGCCCAGCAGGAGAGAGTGAGAAAGAGTCTCTTTCCCAATCATAGAACAAAAACTTAGTTTACTCTGATTACAGCAACTAAGATCACATACCTGCTACTGAAGTAATCATTGTTTCAAGAGGTATAGAATTATAGGCAGAGATTTTAGTCCCAGAATCTGAAGATCTATCTTTGGCCCTTGCTTAGTTTTAATCCTGTCTGGAACCACCTCTTAAGCTTTGGTGGTTTCAGTCCTAACCAAAGTGCATGGTTGCTACATAATGGGGGAGATTGGAACAGATGCTAGGAGCTCACCGATGATGTGAGGTCTCAAAAGTGCTCTCAAGAATGGATGGAGGTGGGATCTAACAAGTTTGCATTTTTAGAATGTTAAGTTCAAATTATATTCTTAAAAATGTAAGCCAGATATATGGTTAAAAAATCGATCACTACAAAAGGGTAGGCATTGAAAAGTAGATGGATTGTCTACTTTTATCCTCCCTCCTTTTAAAATACCCACTAAAATGATTTTTCTGATACCGAGAAAAATGATGAAAATGGTATGAACTCATAAAGACTAAGAATGCACAAGTGAACACATATTTTTGATGAAAGAAAGCAGATGGGAGAGCAATTGAGTTAGCAGTTCCAAGAAATGTCTAAAGTTTCTGCATTGGAGACATTGACAAGAAACTGATGGGCTTGTCCCACATAGTTCCATTTAGGTACAAGATTTGGAGGAACCAAGTACATAAAAAGACTAAAGTCAGTTAAAGACTAAAAAAGAAGTTATTAGTTGACAGTGTGGATATAGGAGAGTTGAATTCTCGGATCCTTTCATCATCCTTCATAGATAGGAACGTAACTCAGAGTCTCCGAATGAAAAGTTTATTCTATGGAGAAATTAAATGGGATTATCTCTAGTTTTGGAGACCCTAGGCAGAGCTGAGAGCAAGTGTGAGGTGTGAAAACAAAAACAGCAAGATTAAGCAAAATTTTGCATCCTGAAGGGTGAGAAGTCTAGCCCCTTCCTATGCAGTAATTTCTGATTGTAGGACACAAGGGAAATGCCTGAGCCCCTCCCTAACTCTCCCTCACACAGAAAATATTGTAGAATTCTAACCTGGAGAATATGAAAGGCTCAGATAAATACTTACACATACTGATATTTGGGGGTGTCCCACGGAAATAGTCCTATCCTAGCATGGTTACGTTACAGTGAAGCCCTGCCATCAACAGGTCTCATGTACTCACAAAGAGCTGACTGTCAGCACTATGATATCTCACCATTCTTAAATATGAGAAGATAGCCAAGGATCACAAGATATTTGAGGAAATACCTACAACATGACACAGAAAGGCCAAAATGACCACCACCAAAAAAACAAAACTAAAGGAATAGGAGGAAACAGATATAATAGAGAAAACAGAAGAAAGTCTTTAAAAATGTCTGATCAATATCCCCAGAGCAGTAAAATATAATAAGAGCTAATACTTATTGAGTATTTACTCTGTGCTACCCATTGTTCTAAGTGCCATATGTGTTTAGCCATTTAATCTTAACAGTAACCATGTGAAGTATATATTCTTATTGTAAGATGAAGAATAGATTAGGGCTTAAGTGCCCCTTATTAGCTATATAACCTTGGACAAGTTCTTAACTTCTTTGTGACTCACTCTCATTTTTAAAATAAGTATAATGTAGTTTTTACTGCATAATGCATTTCAAAAGAATAGATTATAGATGAGACAAGATATTACATTTACAAATCTATAACAAGATGCTATGAAAAACCCTCAGAGAACCAAAAGAGCTCTTAAAAATAAATATTTGTCAACCAGAAAGTAAAACTTAAATATAAAGATTGGATGATAAAATAAATTGCCCAAAAAGTAGAACAAGAGACAATGAGAAAATAAGAAAGGAAAAAAAATTAGAGTCTTAGAGAATCAATCCAAGAGAGTCAATATTTAACTAATGGGATTCTGGTTAGAGTAAGAATGTACAAAATTCAAGGGAGAAATTATGAAGAAATATAACAAGAAAATTTTCTCTTAACTGAAAGTAAGAGTCTAAATGCTAATAGGGTACACCCATGTAAGCAGATTAATAAATAAATAAATAGCAGAAACTAAAGTGTTTTCAGAATACCAGGAAAAAATTTCCAATGGTTTCACAATGAAAAAAAAGGGGTGAGATTAACAGAGATAGGAATCAGAGTGGAATCCGTCCCCTGAACAGCAGCTCTATATGCAATCAAAAGGAACACTGCTTTCAAAATCTGAGGGAAAAATCTGAGGAAATTCTACGTTGAAAAAAATCAACCTAGAATTTTATACCCAGTCAAATGGTCAATCAAATGAAAAGAAAATGAAGATACCTTCACAAGGCAAGTTGTCAAAAAATGTTACCTCCTCTGGATCCATTTTTATGAAGGTATTGAGAGATGTATGTGAGCTAAAGAAGGGAGTAAACCAAGAAAGAAGAATATACTGGATCTTGTAAAAGGGGACTAACACAGGAAAGTATTAAAGAAATAAAAGTGATAGGGGGACAGCCTATAGATCAACTAGTGTAAATGAAGCAGAGATATGGAGGGATCTGGGTGAAAGATCTCCAGGAAATAAATATAATTGATAGATATCTGACATTTTTTAATATCTAAGGAGAAAGATTAATATTTAAATGAGAGACAATGTGAGAAATCAATAGCAGTAGATAGAAAATGATGGAAGTAAAAACAACAATTATCAGCTCTAGGAAAGTTGTTTTTCAAGAAAGGAAATGTAATCATACAACACTAACGTATATTTTGAAGTAATCTTAGCAATATGGACAAAAACTACTGGTTTAACTTAAAAAAATCGATGACAATTCTATTGGGAAAATAGGATAAAGGAAATGTGCAATGTTTGTATGTGTGTTTGTTAGTTGGAAAGTAAAAAAGTTAAATCCTTTTTTATCATAAGCAGAAGTGATTAATATATAAAACTCAATGTCAAGGGATAGCAGTATAAACATATTAGAAATATTGAGATCAATTCTAGAGAAACCACTAGTAGGAGGAGGCTGGAGATTGAAGAATCTTGTTTTTCTTTATAATTTTTTAGTTCATTTTGATTTTTAATTTGGTAGTAATTAAAATAAATTTACAAAATAAAATGAAAAATGAATATCTTTACAAAGGGCCACCAATATTCTCACAAATTTTCAAAATGTTTTTATTTATATTCCTTTTCATGCAGGTTATTACATTTTGTTTGAATTATAAGACATTATCTGTTTTATACATCAGCAAAAGTGGACATTACAAAATATTAACTGAGTAAGAGGAGTGTATTTAAAGGAAATGAAATAATAATATGAACACACATATAGTATTGGAGTACACTGTCACTCACAAAATGATGTTTCATTTTCTCAAGAGCAGAGTACTAGAGAAATATTTCTTTTTAAATGCTGTGATTTAGAACTAGATAATATTTTTTCAACGAGATTAAACAGAATGTTAGAATACGATCAGAAGTGCAGGTATGCCTTCTTACATGAAGGAAGTAAAACAGACAGGTGGATAAGATCATAAGATGCAGACTATGAAAAATACTAGGAGAAAAATCAAAACCTTAGTTTTCTAGAATGAGAAATAACTAAAACTTTGTCCATATTGAAAGGATTAAACCTTAAAACTATTATTTAGAAATGGGTACTAATGAAAACTAACTGCTGATTAATGCAAAAAAGGATGAAGTAACATTGTAAAAACACAGATATACAGAACTTTAAGATTAGGCTTGAAGTTGCATAGTAATTTAACTTGGAGTTTTAAAACTACACTAATATTGACATGGTTATATAACACTTCAAAAGTACATGAAAATATATATAAAAAAAACTTACTGAAAATTAAATCCAAAGCTATTTCGCAAGGAGGGATTTTCTTCACTATTCCTCCCAGGGTCCTGTGCCTGGATATTGGGGAGAATCGGCTTCAGGAACTTGAACTCATTTGTCCCAGTACCTCCGGTCAGACACACCTCATACTGGTAGCTCTGGGACAGGGTCCCAGTACCGGTGACGTCCACCAGGTGGCCCGGAAAGTGGCCCTCAGGCACCGAGCAGCGACCCAGCGAGGCGGCCCTGCTCCTCCTGCACAGCCGCACCGCGATGAACGCGAGCACCGAGAAGAGGAAGAGCGACGACACCGCGGCCAGGGCGATGACCAAGTAGACGGTGAGCGGGTCGG